TGTCACAACCAATAGCCTTGGCTACGCAAGGGCAAGCAATCATGTTGCCATTCAGAGCCTTGTCAAAAAAAGATCACCGGTTGTACCAGCTGGATTAGATTCCGGTTGTTCATGGGCCTTAGCTTGGGCACGCCCAGCCCACAAAATAACCAACAAACACTACTTGTAACTAGTACGCCGAAAGGTGTAAAATAGCGCCGAAAGGTGCAACTCATCTTCTTTTTTCTTTAGGAATCGTTGGGCTCAACTTCCAGTGTCGGCTATTCAATTCCGACACTGGCTAAATAGGACTAAATAGGATTTTTGTGTGTGTGTTGCCAGTTCTGGTCAGAACTGGGTGTGTGTTGTGTGTATTACTTCCAGTGTCGGCTATTAAAATCCGACACTGGCTAAATAGGATTTTTGTGCGTGTTGCCAGTTCTGGTCTTTTCCAGAACTGGGTGTGTGTTGTGTGTGTTACTTCCAGTGTCGGCTATTAAAATCCGACACTGGCTAAATAATGCTAAATAGGATTTTTGTGCGTGTTGCGTGTTCACTCAGCCCGCGTGGAACTAAGTGATGGCAACGACTACATCTTTTCCTCATGTTTGACGAAGACTTTGAGTGCGTGGACTGCTCAGGGATGGACAGCAACCAAAGCGCATGGTTGTGACAAGAAGGAATTGGAGCCAGTGACCGAGACGGCAGCTGTCGATGAGAAGCCTTTGGGGGCTTTGCCTGCAGATGCTAGGGAGCCTGCAGGACATTGGCAGAGTGGAGCAGAAGCTGGCATCGCACAGGAAAATACTGATCCAGGCCATTCGGCAGAAACCTTTGTCCTCCTTATGCGTGTTGAAAGCTCCGGTTTTTGTGTACATTATTTTATAAATTTCTATAATATTTTTAATATTTTATACTATTTTCTATTTGTTTATGTCTTTGTTTGTTTTTTTAAAATATATGCTACAAAAAAGTTATGTCTGTTGAGTTTCATGCAGGTGACCCACACAGTATCCAGAAGCAAATCCAGATGATTGTCGAGCAGCTGAGAAAACTGCCTGATACAAAAGTGATTCGACTGCCGCATCAGGCCAGGGCTGCTAGATGGACTGACTGCTGCGATAGGTGTTTCGACCCATTTTATTCTTTAGGAGTGGGGCCACAGCCGTTCACAAGTCCAAAGTAGCTGACGGTCCCCAGTCACATATTTTTAAATTCGTTTTAGATCTTTTGAACATTTTTTAACATTCTTTTTCCATTTGATTTAGCAAGTCCAACCACACTGCAGGTCTATGCTGATGCAGTGGCTCATGTCGTGGACGATGCCTTCACTGGGTTGCGCCTCTACTGGCGTGATTGGAGTGTCCAGCGTTTCTTTTGGGATTGCACTACGCTAGAAGTAGCTGCTTTCCGAAGCTATTGCTCTGAACAATGTGAAGACTGTGAAGACTCGGCGACTTTGCAAGCTTGTGTAGAAGAATTTGCAGGCTTGACACCACGAGATCAGGCATCTTTCGTCCTCAAAGACAGGGACAGTATTGTGGAGCTCTTGCTTTCCGGGCCATGGCGCGAGTTCATGCTGTTTTTGCTGAAGCAGAATGAACTTTTTGGATGCGATTCCTGGCTTGGCATAGCTATTGTACACTATTGTATCCTTTTCTGGGGGTATGCTTCACTAATCGCGTATTAATTCAGGGGTGGGTCAGGGGTTTTCCCCCTCAGGATTCATTTTAGCTTTGCAATACTTATTGGGTAGATTTGGGAAACATGCCCTGTTTGGTAATTAATTGTGGGGTGGTTGAGGTCTTCCTGCGGTTTTGGTTATTTTCTTCACCATGTCTTCATCCAGGATGAAGAAGGCGATGCTTTCTGGGAGGATTTCCACCAGCAATTGGTTGATCCATGGCCGCTGGAGAAGCTTGTGTTTGGCGCCCCGACCACATGATTTGGCAAAAGATCCTGTTTATTTATGCTTTATGAATTTGATTGAATTTGGTGTGGCTTCTTTACTTGCCCGGAAAAGGTTCTGTTCAAGGGTGGTTGGTTTGACAAAGCTGAGCTGAGGTCACCGAACGCATTATGGACAAATCCTACATCTCTTCACACAATTGGCTACATTGCACTGGGGTGTGCAGTGGCCAAAGCACATGGCTTTTCTTGACTACAAAGTCATAGATCGTGTCAACCTCTTGACTGTCCAAAATCTGCCTCGGGTAATTTGTGTGGTACTGCATGACGATGACCACCAGGCTTTGATGGTGGTTTGCACAGATGAGTGGGTTCCTGTCATTTACAACGGCCACCAGCCCAGCGTTTGCAAGATCCTTGGATACGCCGTCAAGGCTATGAAGGTGATCTGTCAGCAGTACAAGGTTGACTATGCCAAGTGTTCAAAACCAGTGGCTGGAAAAGTTGCGCAGCAGCATGATGAATGGAGCTGCGGACACAAGATGATAGGCGTACTTTCCTATTTGTTGGATCATGGCCTTGGATTAGAGCTGAAGGATTTGGCAAATCTCAAAGTTCCTGGGCCCACTCTGGATACTGATGCCCTGGCCAAGATTTGCTCAAACTCCAATTTGGAGTGTGATGGCAAATTAAAATACGAGGCATTTGTGAAGGTGGAGCGTACAGGGACTGGACATGAGAAGATGAAGAATGCTACACCTCCGTCCAAGAAGCATTCCAATGAGCCTTTGCCTGACAAGCCGCAGCAGACAGATTCCCAGAAAGCAACCACTTCCCAGCCAAAGACGTGCTCCCCGCCTTCACCCAAGAAGCAGATTGAAGACAACGACGCTTCACTCAAGAAGGAGAAGACAGATTTTCAGACTGAGTCCAAAAAGGCTTCCAAGCTCCAGACCACTTCTCAGCCCAATTGTAACACTTCCACTCCGGCCAAGCAGGAGGAATAGCAGTCCAAGCCTTCTCCCAAGAAGCAGACCACTTCTCAGCCCAAGTGTGACACTTCCACTCCGGCCAAGCAGGAGGAACAGCAGTCCAAGCCTTCTCCCAAGAAGCAGA